TGCGTTTGGACGCACACTATGCAGCCGGGAACTCCCCAAAGCGGCCTGCTCCCGGAAACAACATCTACAAACTCAACCGGCTGTGAAATGACCACGTCACCCAGTCCCTTGGGTCTACAGAGTCATATGTGCCATGGTCATGGTGCCTTAGCAAACTTTGTCCTGCTTGCCTAAAATCCATACTTGAGGGGTCCATGATCATGGATGGCAATCCCAAGCAGATTCCCACCAGCTCCAAGTGAGTTCATCAACCAACCCAAATTGTTCAAACAGCAAGGGTCTCAATTTTGGATCAACAAAAAGACATCCCGTTTTTTGGACAGCCCACAAAAGGTGACATCTACCATTTCCGATTATATTTGGTATTGCCCTCGTGTCTCCGTTTCTTCGGGTAAAAACAGTTAAAGGCCAAAGATCCAAACAAATAGCAGTCAAGTATGGCCACATGGTTAAACAAGTTGGAATTGGGAGGATGCCCCGTTCGCTTATTTGGATGTTCACCTTGGTATGCAGGTTACAACCATGGTAAGCGGACTACCACTTCATCCAAAGCCAAGCCAGAACGTTTCGAGCAAGGCACACGTTGTGGCACTCCACGTCGTGAGTCGTGATCTGTGTAGTGCCACCCTCTTCCGTAGACTTGTCATCCTGACCGTGGCTGCCCATTTCAGAAGAAACGCAAGCAAACGTGTATGGGTCAAACAAGCAAACCCAAAAACAGGGTGTCTTTTTTCAATGGTTTCCCCTTACACCATTCCCAAAACGAGTACCTTCAAAGAAGGATACATCACACATACTTTACAAAGATTTGGATCTTCAAGTCAGCAGGTAAAGGTGGTTTTCACTGGCGCATTTGATCGGCACCCCAAATCCTTTGACTTTTGGTTTTCACTAAGATGGCTATAAGGTAGTAGACCCGATACAAATGGCCAATAGGGGTTCAAGCGCTGCTCAAATGTATCCTGGCAAGCAGACTTTTTTGAAATGCCATGACTCATGACATTTAATTCAGGACCCTTTATATAGTGGACATCATTTACATGCGGGTTTATGTGCAAGAACCATTCCCCAATGCAAATTTAAGGCCACCTGACTCGGGCGAACGGGCGAGGTTGTCAGAAAGCGTGGCGTTACCCAACGAGCACATTCTCTCGAGCCCCATTGCCAAATGCCCGTCTCCGCTCTGATCAAAACAAGCAGCAGAGTCTGGGAAATGAAGCCTGAGCGCGGATGGCAAACGCTCTCCCAAGCCACACCATCCATCGCAACCTGGACTCCGTGCCAACGCATGTAATAGGGGAGTGTGCTAAAATATAGGGGATAATGTCCCTTCAAAACCACCAAAAAAGGGCGCGCACCTCCAAAAACACACAAAATGGAAGCCACTGGCCCTTCAGTGATCCCTGGATTCGGCCGCAGCAAACAAAGGCAAGAGTGTTCTCTTTTGGGTGCCGGTTGTGCCTTTGCATGCCTCACCATGGAAACTGGTGCAGTTTCCACACGCCAAGCAAGGGGGAACTCAACCCCCACGGCCATCGCTCGCGCCAGCCGAGCTCCCCGCTGGAGGGAGTAGAGCCAAGTCCTCAGGCCGCGGGATGAAGCGGTTGGACTCCAACATTCCTCCCGCAACGCGGATCCCCTGTCAAGATTGGATCCATTTCGACTGAGGTGCCAAGGGTACTCCCTTGGGCCAATATGTTTGAAAGGGAGCCTCCGTTTAGGGAAAGCCCCTCTAAATTTGTTGGGTCACTTGTATAGGCCTTACTACAAACCCCGTGAAACTCAATAGAACCATCCGCCAACATAGCCCAGTCGGGGGCTTTGAGCGCTGTGAATATGGCTTTGGAGAGGCAGGCAACTGTTTGGGTGAGCTCCCGAACTGGCAGTGGCTTCACCAGTTAGACAGGCAACTTCAGCGGGTCATCTCCAGCCTGGCAATGGCCAATCTGCAGCCTACTTGAAGCATCCAGAGACAACATCAGGCTAGCCTCAAGAAGTTCTAACAAATGGGCTCCTTTCTTTTTTTGGTGAAGCCCTGAATCTTGGACGGCTCTCACAAACTGGACGATGGGTGGCCCAGAAGCAAAGCAACACGTTAAATCAACTCTGACGCCCCCACCTCATGAGAAGCAAAGCGCAAACACGTCAATGTCCCTGCTCAAGCCCAGCCTTTGCAAGTTCTGAATGATGAGCAAGCTTAGCATCATTCTTCGCAATTTCTCGTTGATGCTGCGCGCGAAGCTGTGCGTGGCGCCGTGCGCGATGCTGCGCGTGATGTTGCAAATCATGCTGCGCGTGACACTGTGCGTGATGCTGCCCATGATGCTCTACAACACCTCTTGTCCACTCTTTGTGCCCGTTTCTTTTGTCAACCTCTTGTCCAACTCATTGCGCAGTTTGGCTGCGCAAGAGGGCTGGCTGTCTTAGCTACGGAGGTGTACTTCGCACACTACTTTTGCGTGCATAACTTAAGATTTTCAAGCTGGAGACTCGCAAGTGCAACTGGGTGTTTCTTTTGCGCTTTACAGTTGCAATTTGCGAGCTGCACTTCGCGCACTACTTTTGTACTTAAAATTTTCAATCTCGAGCCAAAGCTGCGGGAGTGCTCTTCGTGTACTACTTTTGTACGTAAAAATTGCGAATTTCGAGCAGGAGTTGCCGGAGTGCGCTTCGTGCATTTTGTACTTAACAAGCTCTTCGCATACTACTTTTGCACTTTAATCTTGCAAGCTTTCAGCCGGAGCTGCGGGAAGGTACTTCGCGTACTACTTTTGTACTTAGAAGTTGCGCATTTCGAGCCGGAGCTGTCGCGTACTACTTTTGTAGGTAGAAGGAGCGGTTGTGCAGCAGGAGCTGCGGGAGTGCACTTTGCGTACTACTTTTGCGCGTACAAATTGCGAATTTCGAGCTGGAGTTGCGGGAGTGCGCTTCGTGTACTACTTTTGAACTTAAAACTGCGATTTTTGCAGTCGGAGCTCTGGGAGTGTTCTTCGCGTACTTCTTTTGCACTTTAAACTTGCAAGCTTTCAGCCGAAGCTGCGGGAATGTACTTCGCGCACTACTTTTGTAGATTTCGAGCCAGAGCTGCAGGAGTGCGCTTCGCGTACTACTTTTGAACTTAAAACTGCGATTTTTGCAGTCGGAGCTCTGGGAGTGTTCTTCGCGTACTTCTTTTGCACTTTAAACTTGCAAGCTTTCAGCCGAAGCTGCGGGAATGTACTTCGCGCACTACTTTTGTAGATTTCGAGCCAGAGCTGCAGGAGTGCGCTTCGCGTACTACTTTTGAACTTAAAACTGCGATTTTTGCAGTCGGAGCTCTGGGAGTGTTCTTCGCGTACTTCTTTTGCACTTTAAACTTGCAAGCTTTCAGCCGAAGCTGCGGGAATGTACTTCGCGCACTACTTTTGTAGATTTCGAGCCAGAGCTGCAGGAGTGCGCTTCGCGTACTACTTTTGTACTTAACAACTGCGATTTTACAGTCGGAGCTCTGGGAGTGCTCTTCGCGTACCACTTTTGCACTTCAAACTTGCAAGCTTTCACCGGAGCTGCGGAAATGCACTTCGCGCACTACTTTTGTACTTAGACGTTCCGAATTACGACGAGACAACTGACCATTCGCGGCAGCGAAAGCAAGACAATTCGCACGGCGCCACAGCGAGAGCGCTTCGACACGCACGATCTCCGCAGAGGGCTCGCCGAGGTCAAGACAAATTCGCACGGCGCCACAGCGAGAGCGTTTCGACGCGCACGATCTCCGCAGAAGGTTCGCCGAGGTCAAGACAAATTCGCACGGCGCCACAGCGAGAGCGCTTCGACGCGCACGGTCTCCGCAGAGAGTTCGCCGAGGTCAAGACAAATTCGCGCGGCGCCACAGCGAGAGCGCTTCGACACGCACGATCTCCGCAGAGGGTTCGCCGCGGTCATGACAAATTCGCAGTGCGAGAGCGCTTCGACACGCACGATCTCCGCAGAGGGTTCGCCGGTCAAGACAAATTCGCACTTCGCCACAGCGAGAGCGCTGCGACACGCACGATCTCCGCAGAGGGTTCGCCGTCGGTCAAGACAAATTCGCACGGCGCCACAGCGAGAGCGCTTCGACACCCACGATCTCCGCAGAGGGGTACGTTTCGTAAGCTTCCGTCGGGCCAGAAAAAGAAGAAGACTTAAGAGTAGAGAAGTGAAGGTACAAAAGAAAAGTTAGCTTGTGTTTTTAGGTCAGTAAAGGAAGACCCGAAAAGTTAGCTTGTGCTTTTAGAATGATGAGATAGCACCCGAAAAGTTGACATGAGAAGTTGGCTGGTGAAGTAACTATCAAAAAGTTGGCATGAGATATTAGCAGGTGAAGTAACTCTCGAAAAGCTGACATGAGAAGTTGGCTGGTGAAGTAACTCTCGAAAAGTTGGCATGAGAAGTTGGCAGGTGAAATAACTCCTCGGCAAGTTGGCATGAGAAGTTGGCAGGTGAAGTTTGCAGCCGCTTTTAGAAGAAGAACCCTTCGCAATGCTTCCGGGAAAAACGGTCCAATCAGGATTTCAGGTTGAAACCCGCTCTGGAAAATTAGAACCTTGCGCATGCTCGATTCCATGAAAACTCTGACAAACAGAGCGGCTCGCCTTTTCGGACCTGTGGTTTGGCCCGGTGATCGGGCATCGCCCACCAAGACCTGCTGTTCCGGAGGGTGCCGAGGCGAACGAAAGCTAGCTCCTGTGAAACCATCCCGGAATGTCTTCCCGCCTCTGCTACCAGCGCGATCCTGGCCAGGCGGCAAGGCGCCAACAGCGGGAGTTTTGTTTTTGGTTTGCTCACTCTTGGCCCCAGCAGCTGCTTTGGGGGCAATACTTCAGTCAGATGAAAGTGTATGCTTCTTGCCTGTTTTGAAAAGACACTATCGGCTCAGTCGCGGATCGAATTAACAAGCGAGTTCTGTGCGCCAGGCGTGGGGCGGACAATTGTCACGCACAACTTTTGTATGTCCAACAAAATGATGTGGGTTTGTGTCCATGTCTTCCCATCACCAGCTCGCAACCTTCACCAAAACGTCCTCCATAGTGCCAGCAGTGCCAAGGCGGCAGCCATCGCTGCCAGGGACTCGTGATGGGAACACACAACCTTTCAGTCACATGGCACTCGGGTACTTGAGTCTCGCTTGGCAAGAAGAGGCTACGTGCTAAAAGGGTGTCTTTTTTGCGGATACCCCTTGGGTGTAAAGGGAAACCAAAAGGAAACCAATGATTGGGGGAGTCCCTCATGTTGAGACAAACCCAAATGCAGAGTGGGCTCTGCAAGGCTTAACGGCTGCGATGCCTGCGGAAAATCACATGCAAGGGAACACCCGCAGTGGCCCTGGCTGGCGGCGTGTATGAGAGGGGAGCTTCTTCCTGGGGCGGGTTGCAAGGGAACCTTTAGGAAGCAACCCATTCAAGGGGGGTTCCGCATTTCAAACGCCCCGTTCCGCGAAGGGCCACAGCCGCGCCCGATGGGACTTCCATCTCACCTAGTGCGACGTGCCTGGCGCCATCGGCTAAACAATGCCACCTGCAGGGAGCCATGTGGAAATCACACGAAATCTGTGATACGACTGCTTGTTCACATTCTTTTCTTTAGCAATCAAAGCTGCAACCGCAAACCGTATTTGGCGCTCAGACACGCGGACACCCAGTAGCCATAGGGAAAGGGGGAAAAAGGGGCACTCTTTTGTTGGTGCTTAACTTGAAGGGCACACACACACACACAAGCAGACAGAAAAGGAAACATCAGCCTGCCTCCGCGCTTGGCGGCCCTTCAAAAGTCGTCGCAACTCGCGCGGGGCCGTGTAGCCCAAAATCAGCCGGAGGACCTTCTTGAGCCAAAACCATCGAAACACCGATGCCAAGAATAATCAAATGATCACCCGCGGGGGTTTTGCAACAAGCCCTGCAAGATGGTGGTTTCCAAATTGGGACTCCATGGAGTCTTGGCAGTAGCTGCCACCGCATGCCCAAAACATGTCAATGCATCGCAGGCAAAAAAAAGATCTCGGCTGGTTCATGCAGACTCAACGGACACCAACATGAAATCAGTTGGAGCCTTCTCACTCAAACACCCTGGCAGCCCGGCAGGCCCTCAACTCTTTTCCTAAAGCGACATGGCAGGCCATCGCTCGGCGAAGCACCTCCTCCGATTCGGTCTCACGAATGTTTCAATCTGCATGGGTATGTGATAAAAATAAGGGAGCCCCCTCATCCCAAAAAAGCAAGACAAGAGGTTCACGTTCGCTTCCCTTCAAATCAGCCCAAAAAATGGCACTCTCAAAACAAACACGCAATCCCGCATAGCTTAAGGTTCTATGGCCCAACTTGAAAAGGATGCCAAACTATGGCAGTACAAGAAAAACATATTCCGCATGGACATCACTATATTTAAGAAGTAGCGCCAATCTGGCTTGAAGCTACATTACCAGCAACACTGCTATAGCAAAAACCATGGCATTTTTGTGAAGGCATCCCAAACATCAAACGGTCTTCGCGGCAACCCACCTTACTGCCGGAAGGCAGGGGAGCAGGGCTTGCTTAGACCCACCGCCCAAAACCATACGTCCTGCTATTGGTTCGGCCAAAATGTCAGCAATCTAGCATCCATTTGGGAGGAACATAAGGGGGGCTCACTGAAATTCCCACAGGAGTCCGTGGCTTCACTAATTATCCCATGTCTTTTGAAGGAACCTTTGGTCATGTCTCGTATATTTATAGACTATGGGGTATGGACTGCCAGTGGCGAACGCACCAAGACCCACACACCCATGCATTCCGTTGCGGTAAAGAGTCCTGAATCGCGAGCGAACTGTTGGGAGTTACTGCATTGCCCGTGACTTGTCGGCGTGCCTGTCCATCTGTTGGAAATATAGAAACTACCAGCCCTCCGTTGTAAAACAATTTCGTGGTATCCCTCGTGTTGCCATGAGTGATTGTGTGTCGGAACCCACAAAGCAGCTGGTTCAGTAGGCCGCCGCAAACTGAGAGAACGCTGTTGGGGTTCGTTCGATTTTGGGTGGAAAAAATCCACCTTGCCCCACCATCTACCACGTGGTGTGAAGTCCGACCGGTGGACGTGCTTGTGTCGACACTTGAGTTGCGTCCATGTCACACTACCGGGGGGTCGCTCAAACGGGTGCTTGGGCGCGCCTATTGACCCCCAACACGGCTCCAAACAGCACTTGCCATGGGGCCGAAGGAAAAACGAACTGTACAACCACAGCCAGAAGAACATGAATCCGCACACCCGGCAGCCCTGCTTGTACGGCGTGCATCATGCTACAAATTCGCCTCACAAACTTCCGCGAGAGGAATTCAGGGACCGGCGGCTCAGAGTACTCTGGAGGCCTGCAACGTCCAAATGGCGTAGGTGTCCTTTTGGAGCGGTGAACGATTGGAACCAGACCTTCGCGGGTTGCTGTCACCCCCGAATCCATCCCTGTCCTGGTCAGGGTTTTGGTTTAAGGTTTAAGTTTAGGTTTAGATCCAGGTTTAGGGATCAGGTTTAGGGTTTAGGTTTAGGGTTTAAGCTTAGGGATTAGGGTCTAGGGTTTAGGGTTCAGGTCTAGGGTGTATGTTTAGGGTTTAGGTTTAGGGTTTGGGTTTGGGGTTTCGGCTTTAGGGTTCAGGTTTAGGGTTTAGGTCTAGGGGTCTGGTTTAGGGCCTAGGTTTCGGGATTAGGTTTCGGATTTAGGTTTAGGGGTCAGGTTTAGGGTTAGGTTTAGGGTGTACTCAGGGTTTAGGTTCTGGGTTTAGGTTTTCCAGGTTCATGACGTGCCCCTTTGCAGGCAAGCTGCTAGTGCATGTCTTAGAAGCTCTCGAGAAGTATTCGCTAGCCTTGTCCGAGCGGCACATTGGGCAGCCACCGTCTCTGCCCTAGCGCTTGGCTATGACTAATTTCGAGCACGTGGTAGCGAAGGCGAAAAGTGCTTCAGGCGGATTTGGTCCCGAAGAAGTCTAGTTTCGGGCGTCGGGGTGTTGCTTTGGGGCGCAGGCAACCCCCAGGGGCTGGCTGGTTGAAAAAAACAGGACGCGCTGGGAAGGCTCGGACCCTCAGTTCACCAGCCCCAGCCCAAGCCCTGCAACTCAGCGCAGCCCACCACTCTCACAGCCCAACCTGTGAAAACCCAACCTGTCTTACCTCAAGCGCTCAAGGCTCAAAATCAAGCTCAAGCCTACCGCGGCCCCCAACCCAGCCCGTTGATGGGCCCAATCCCTCCCCCGCTCCGCGGTTCGTTGTAGCTGGGGCAGTTGGGGCTCGTTCCATGATCTTCACGGGTTACCATGGTTGGCACCTAGTGACTAAGGGGTCTTTCTGCGGGCCATCACGCCATCCCTGTTACTATTTTCCTCCTTTAAAGGAGGTTCCCGCGTGGGGCGAAATCCACCGCTTAAAGCGTTCCAAAGGCTCGCCTTTCGAACCCAGATGATGTGCCACAGGCAGTGCAAAAAGAAGGCCAACCCCCAAAACAAGCATCTGTTTCAAACATTGCTACATTGGGCTTGGGGGGTCTAGCGCTGGTAATGCTTTTAGTTCCGGTCAAAACACAAGGTCAAGTCCAGCCAACTCTTGGCCCAATCCCACCGGCATTGTCAGACCTTTTCAAAGAAGATGTTTCGGACCCCAGGGTTCCCCAAATTTCCCCGTAAACATCACCCCTAAAGGAATTCAGGTGCCAAAATGCTTCAGTTTTCCAAGCTGCCCTCGGGGAAATATGGCACCCCATTCGCCATCTCTCCGACCAGACGCCATCTCAGCCGCTTGCGCATTGCCTCCGGACCGAAGGCTCCTCGGAGCCCCGTCCTCGGCCTTCACCCGCAACTCCTGCGCGAGTTGCCGGTGAGTTGCCGGCAGGGGGGGAGATGCCCTGTTCAGGTTGGCGGACAGGGAAAGCCAAAGAAAAACCAACATTCCTGAGACCCGCTCGGTCCCAGACCTGCAGGTTTCTCGTTGGGCTGCTTTGAAGATTGCCTTTTGGCCCTGAAAATTCAAAAGGTGAGCTCCCTTAATAGGGGTGATGCGTTGAGAGGGAAGTTTCGGGAACCCTGAAATCGGGCAGTTGCCCATGACTGAAGCAATGCGTTGATACTGTTGGACTGGAAGCGGAGTCGAAGCAAATGCATTGCTCGAAGGTTCAGCTTGCATACTCAGCTGGCAGAGTCGAGCTGAACGCTGCCTGGGATGACAACAACTCCGAGCGGCAAAGGTGGGCATCAGTGATCAGTGCACAAAATGACTAGCACCGTAACTATATACGCCGATGGTAGTTGACGGTGCGTTCGGTGAAAAAGGAGTGCTGCCGGCTTCGTTGCCAGGCAAACGGAGAAATAAGAGGTTCAGAGCCCCAAATGGGCCACGGGCGAAATATTGGTGTGTCCTTTTTTAGGGGACCCCTTTTTGGTGTAACCAACCATATTGTGGGTGCCACAAAAAAAGACACACCCATATGTTATCCCAGAATCAGCATGAAAAAGTTCGTACCCCTAGGTACCAAACCCATGCAGCATCGCATGCACGTGCCATCTTTTGTGCAAATATGTTTTGCCCCTCAAAGTCAAAGGGACCGTGGCTAGAACTTCTCAAAGGCTATACCCCCCGTACCACTAGGTCGCTTGGTTCCAGCTCATAGTCACAGCCATCGTGAAGGCAATGCAAGAAATGCAGCCATACAGTTTCCCGTTCTCTACTCCTTCACCCGTTATTGATGCCCTGAAAAAATGGGCGAACAGGGCGGTTTCCTCTGGCTCTGCCACCTGAAAGTGCCCGAGAAGGCACTCGCCCATGTCTTAAGCGAAGAAAGAATGGTGGCTGAATTTCGGCCAATGTCTTACATTTCTTTTCGGTCCTGACTCTTCCGAAAAGAAACCGGTTTCATTGCCGGCGCGCCATTCCCATTTTGCCCCTTTTTGCCGTCACGCTCACTCGGGTCGCCTCCACCAGCCCAGACTCTTCAATGATCTGCTTCGCCTCTGGTCCGAATCGACTTCGCCCGGGGAACATCGGACAATTGGCGGGTCCCTTGGCTTTCTCGTGGAAATCTGGCGAGTCCTCCCAAAGGTCCCTAGGTTGTTGTTGTAAGTCCTCCCAAATGGACCACAGACTGCCAGCATTGTTGTCCAACCCTCACATTTGAGCCACAGATTGCTGGTTGAGCCATTGTTGAGCTGCAAAGACACGGCCAATGACTTAAGATGGCTGAGTTGAGTCACAGTCAATATTCCTTGTGTCTCCAACTTTGGCAAGTAACCCTCCTTCCTTGTCGCGTATTTTGGAGATCGTGCGCCCCATGTCATCCCCTTACTGCATTAGATGACAATACATATTGACCGGCACATATTAGCTGCGACTAAAACTGATTTTGGGTTCTACCAAGATGGTTGCAAAGATGTGTGGAGGACTGAGCTTTGAAACTCTACTAAAATGGCCCTATTGAGCCTTTCGCCCTGCTAACTTGCCTTGTGTCTGCTCACATCGCTGCTGCATGGTTCTGTTGCTGAATTGTTGCTCAACTCAACTCAAGTGAAAGCGGGTCTCTCTCTCTCTCTCTCGCTCTCTCTCTCTCTCTCTCTCTCTTTCTCCCTCCTTTTGAGTTGGTACCCTTTTTGAAGTGGTTTCACAGAGGAACAAAGGAAAACTACCGAGACAAGCCCAACTCAAGTCCAGTTCAAGACATCTCACTCAGACTCAATGTCATGATCGATCGTCCCAACTATGTAGATCATGTCTTATTCATGTGCAAATGGTGATGGTTATTCCATGATGAGCCAGTGGTGATAACCATTGTAGCAGTATCATCGACAGCAAATGTGGCAAATATGATGCGACCATGACGAGACCAATATGGCTACCTTAGTCCTTAGTCACTATGGCTACTATGGTCAATATGGCGAATATGCTTCATTTGGAGGCCATGGACACTACGGAGACAATGCGTTCGTCGCTACTACAATGAGTAGGGCCACCTTGGCAGTTGCTTTCGCAGTGACAGTGGCAGGGGCGGCAGCGGTTGTGGCCATACTGGTGCTGGCAGTTGCAGTGCCGGTGGTGGTTGCGAGTACATGGGTCCTCTTTTTTTTAAGGTGCCCGTTCTGGTGGGGTTTTTCCAGGGAAGCCAAAAGGAAAACCGATGCCGTTTTGGGGGGCGACAACCTAAGAGACACGCCCCAATCTTGATTCCAGCGCATAGCGGGGCGCTTGGCATCCGCTGCGGAGAACCCGAAACAGGCGGGGCAAAGGGCGGCCGCAACAAACCCGGCTTCCGAAAAAGATGAGTGCCATGAAACTGGGGGGGGGGCTTTTAGAATTCAACCTGAAAAAAGGGGAATGCGATGATTGTTTTTGCGAAAATACTTTCATGGGCCACATCGCTCTCTTCCCGGCCGCAACTCGCCCCTCGCCTTCAGGCCTTCCAAGAACTTGGGCTCCCCGGTTTTGTCATCCTCGGACGGAAAGACACCTTGCCCTGCGCCGGCTATGACGTACCAGCCCTGCCTGCATCCGGTAACGATTGATGTGTATACATGCGTGTATGTATATACATATATTCACAAATCTATGCATGTGTTTATGTATATATAATTATATCTATATCAATATGTATGATCAACGAATGCATACAGAGATGGTCCCTGTGGGCACAGGTTAGGTAGCCAATAGCTGCGCCATCTCGCGATCTGTTCAGGCGTCCTCAAATAGCATGTTCAGGGGAGCTCCAAAGGCCTTTGGGCGTAGAATGTGGGCAAGGAATGCAGGGGCGCAGTACCAGTTTCTCACTCAGAAACGGACCTGGTACAAGGGTCGTGAACCTTCCTTCAGAAAAGGGGGAGAAAAAAAGAGAAATCCTGGGTAGCGCCATGGACTCGGAGGGGCCGAAATAATTAGAACGGGTTCTCGGGCTGCGTGGGCTGCTTGAAGACCGAAAGTATGACCATACGATCATAACCCTCAGGCGTAAGTTCCGCAAACGAATAACATGTCGGGTGATAGATTCCCTCTAAAGCAAGCAAATGGAAGATGCAACTTGTAGCTTTGACCATGGCAGGTACTCAAGGATCCGGGCAAGGTCATACGTCAACAGGCGCTCCAGCTCCTGACACAAATGTTCGTGACTCGTCCGGACCCCACCGACCCCCCCCCCCCCCAGTGCGGGGCTTTTTGAGGGATCTCGTTTTGAGGGCTTCTGCGATTTCCCTTTTTCTACCTCCAGCCACCCCCCCTTCCCCCCTCCCCCCTTGTAGATCGGATGGTTTGCCGGGCTGCATCAAAATCGAAAGCCTCCTTCTCGGTTGTTTGCTTCCAAATTAGAAGGGCCCCCCATTTTGCTGCACCGCCGCACGCAGCCTTGTTGAGTTGATCTCAAACAAGCGAGAACTGTAAATTGTGACCTTGCCCGCTTCACACACACACAGGGTATCAAGCTCCAAATGCTGCGAGAATGCACTACTGCGATCTGCCTCCTGGTCTTACCGTGAACCGTGCCGACCAACCGCACGGGGTCGGCAGAAATATGTTGACCATTTGGGGCATCATCAAGATGCCAAATCTTGAGTCAAGCCCTTGCCTACGCACCGACACCCTGTCGAGCACAGGTGTCAAAATGCCCAAGGCCCCTCCCTCTTTCCTCAGATTGGCAATCAAAACCTTGCTCGCCAAAACCCAGTGAAACCCAAATCACTGAGCCCAGATCCTGTTGGGCAACCCGTGGCAAATAGACCTAACGAACCAGAGGTGGCTGTCCGCATTTCAGCTGCAACCGGAATCACTGAGTATCATGGCGATATACACCTTTCTGGACAATGGCTCTGTAGTGTAGGAAATAATGCTGCAAATGCATACACAACAACTGTTTCAGCCAGCCCCATATACTAGGCTAGGCAGGTATCATAATTGCACCAAGTATCCAATGTCAAACACGACAAAGATCTGCAACAACGGGTTCATGAGGTCTGTTGGGATCACTCCCTTCATCGGCTTCAGGGGAACAAGCAGCAAAAGCACTCGGCCCATTCTTTCGGGCAACTTGCCAATAAAGAAAACGGAAAGAAGATCGATTCCTCAGAACCATTCGACCCCTTCCGCCATTCCAACCGCGCAAAGGTGCGCAAAGGCCTCCGACGCGAACTGTTCCAAGAACTTCTCGAAGCCTCGCGCTTTCGAGGCTTCTGGCGAAAAGGTCTCCGTGTTAGAGAACAAATAGCAGTGGTCACTGGATTTCCCCTTCCAAAGTTGCAATGTACTGGTGACGTCCATTGAAACCGCCCACTTTTGGAGGCTCCAAGAATGGAAATGGAGGAAACTCTGGACAATGCAATGCTAGTGGGGCAGGCTTGGATCATATCCGCAGCCCCAAATACCGGAGTCCGAAATGTGGGAGAAGTTGGGGGCTGTGATGTCGGTCCGACGCCGGAACCTCCCCCTTCAATTTCCTCCGATAGTCTTCATGTGTGACACTCGAGACATTTGAAAAGGGCGGGGAAGTAAGTCCGCACAGGCGAACAAAAACATCGGACTTCCGGGTGGGGCTATTCGGCCAAGGGGCTCTCTGGTCTTCCAACAGTCCGATCTTTTGGAGAAGAAGCCATGAAGACCTTCATAGCGTTTCATGGTCACTGCCGGCGTGTATCTCATGGCCCAAGTCCCCAGTTTGTGTCTATGTGAAATACGCATGGACTCTAAACCCCGGTAGAATTGGGACCATCAACCACACGCAACCCATCCAGGAGAGCCCATTCAATCTTAAAACAAACAAGAACCCCATGCAACAGTAAAGTGCTTGGAAAAACTGTCTCTTGCAATCTGATTCATTTACGTAAGCGCCCTTTGACTTGCAAACAAAGAAACTTCACAGAGCTTGCACCACGATGTCACAAAGATTGCAGAGAGAGATCGCACAGCGAGCTTGCACAAACAGTTGGCCCGAGACTGCGCGCAAGGGGACAAGCTAGATCCAGTTCATAAGGGACTCCTCCGCTTGCCTTGGAGCTCACCGCGCACCGTGACTCCGTTCTAAAGTGCACGTGAGCAACACGCTTCCTTGCCTGGAAAGCACAGATTTTGAGCCGTTCTCCCGACTGCACGAAGTGTTCGAAAGAAACCAAAGCAGCAAGTTGAATAAGTACGGTGCTTGTCGGGACCAAATGCGTGTTCGAGGCTTCCTTTTAAAACTTCACCTCTTGGCCTTTCACACAATCCTAGCGACGGAGCTTGCGCAAAAAACCACGAGCTTCCTCTTGTTTGCAAGTTTCGGTCTGAGGGAAGATTAAACAAAGGCTCTTTCACTGCAGCTTTTTGCACCAAATAACATTCCTTACATGTCCTATCTAGACAGCGCCCACCAAAAGCAAACTGACTTTGAATTGGCCGAAAAGATGAACCGCCTTCCTTCCGGAAAAACATGGGGACTGCAATCCCTCCAAATTGGGCACGTTAAGGAGCCTCAAAACATGTGGCTTCCCGGCCTACAAAGCCTCCACCAACTCGGAAGACCGGCTTATCGTTGGAGATCTTGCAAATCACCTGACGCGCTCGCGTGCCATTGAAGATCGTGTGGTCGTGTAGCGCCTTTTGGGTGCGCTCTAAAGAGCAACCAAAAGATCACAGACAATTTTAGGGGATCCCTAGTTTGACGCAAATCCACATGGGCTCGCAAAATGGATTCCCCTTTTTAAAGTCCCTTTGACACAACCAGAGGAAGGGTACCGAGTCTCAAAAACTACACCTGCCAAGACTTGATCTTGCTGTGCGCAGGTCAAATCCGGATCTGGATCAGAACTCATGCTCAACTCGCCATGTTGCCTCCCCAACTGCCACTTGCGACGTGGCCCACAGAACTGCTGTGCCACTGAAATGGTCCAAACCAGAAACTTTCCCGCCTGGCGACGCCCGAAGAGGTACAAGCCCTGGGAGAGGCGGAAGAAGGGCACCGCCGGCCTGCAAAGGAAGCGAAGGAGAAGCGAAGTCCAACGAAGATTTGGCTTAGACTTAGGCTTATATATATATATATATGTAATTTTGTGTGTGTGTGTGCGTGTTATGTATGTCATTATATATGTGTACTAGTATATATATATATATGTATGTATGTACACGCTAAATAAACGGTATTCGTGGGCCCAAAAAAAAAGACGAAGCCCTGGCCTGTACCCGTTGATCCAGCGTGCCAGGATCATGTCAGTCGCCTCAGAATCGGTCGCAGCCCTTGTCGCAGGGCTGGATCTTTACCAGGCGGTAGGGATCCCCTAAAATGGCCTCTGGGTGTCCTATTGTTTTCCCCAAGACCAAAGGGGGTACATTTGAAGAAACTCCCATTTGAGCATATTTGGGCCTGAATTTTGACATCAAGGTAGGTGTTAGAATTCAGCATTAAGGCCCAGGATTGGGCTAGTCTCCAGTTGACTTTACAATTCTTTAGCAGGGATCCTCTTCTTGCAATTCTAGACCGGATTATTGGATTTGGGAGTCGGGCCAAGCGGGAGAGTCGCCTTCGTATTCAACCTCAAATCCCCATGCGACGGTTCATCTAAGTCTAAGTGACTGTTAACTTCGGACTAGTCTGATCGGCTATGAGGGGGTATTGTCCCAAAATTGATCCGCATGCCCTTCCCAAATGGTGCACATCCAGGTTAAATCCACCAGGAAATGATTAATCAGCTGGGTTCCCAGTGGGTGTATCGTTGACCTTCACCCATCTTTGGTTCACGTATGCATTTGAGTCCACCGGCTTTCAGGCCAATAACTCAATTCGCGTTTCGGGCCAAGGCACGTCCGCCTTTGCCGGCACGTAGCGAGAGGACAGCTCCTGAGTCTACCCGCGAGAGTTGACAAAAATGATACCGTCAAAGATTGTTGGATGAAGCTGTTGAAGGTCAACCCCGGTACAACATGTTCGGAATTCCGAACAAATGAGTCTCAAGTTCACATACTTTGGATCAAGAAACTTACTTGATGTGTGGCCCTTTTCGGCATCAAAAGCTGTACAATTGGATGAGCTGCGGAAGAGCAGCGAGCAACTCGAGCCATCCATGTGGGCATGCGTAGATTGCATGGATTGACATCATGGTTTAACGGATGCCCGTTAGAGCATTGTTCTGTCATGCGATCAAAGCATATGCGCTGACATCATAAGCATGTTCAAGCTCAGAGTTCAAGCAGCCGGGAATGGCTGCAGAGTCCTGCAATCTGTACATCAAGAGCTTGATCTCATTGTTCCTATCCTGCCATGGCAGGCGACAACCCTCAGAAGGGGCACCCTTGTTTGGTTGGTGATGCTAAAAGGACATCACTCCTAGCAAACAAAAACAAACAAAAAAAAAGGACGGCTCTGGGCAGCCGAAGGCCTGTTTGCAAGTGCCTCTTGCTGCCTGTCCCTGGTTTCCGGGAGGCTCTCACTGGTGGATATTGAGCAATGGGAAACCGAAACTGGCGACGGAAACCAAAAGCCACATGCACCGAGAATCGAAGGCCCGATGCATGCAGCATCAAATGTCGACCCGAATGCACCGGACAAACAATGCGAGAAGTGATTGCAATGCATTTGCCGCTAAGAACTATACCTCTCTTCAAACTACGATGGTCATAGAGTTGAGGGCGGCTGTGGGGCAAAAAGGTGGTCAAGACTGACTTTGGTGAGCCGGTGCTAGATGGCACCTCCAGCCGAACGCGCTGTCATAAAACTGCTCCCGCCACCTCCCCGCCCCGCGCAACTGAAACACACCTCCAGCTTTGGTGTATCTTACGCTTCCCCAAGACGTTGCGTGTGTTTGGAGAGTCCAAAAGGTGTGATGTTGGAACTCAAGATGCCGGAACTCCCCTTTTGGAAATGGCGACTGACCGAGTTCACTCGCAAGAACCACACACAGACACACACCAACGATTTGGGCCTTTCCTAAAGAAAAACTGCCAGCTTGGCAGCGAAGGCAATGAATCCCTGGGTGTCTCAAAAGAGGGGGCCCCAAAAATGGGTGTTTTTCCTTGCGTCCCTTTCAACTAGGCTGAAAGTGGGCACCCTCAAGAAAAGGCACACCCAAATACCTGGGCTGCGTACCCTGGTCCAAACCTCAAACGAAACGTATCCTCCATACCTCTGGCCGTACCTTCCAAGAATGGGTGGTTGGGTCAACTTTGGATCATACATCTTTGTCCTCTCCAATCAAGCTGATGATACCACAACATATTCAAATCCCAGGTTTAAATTGACCGAGGGAAACAGAAGTCAAGGCCTTTGAAAACCGCCTGAGACAGGAACCATGCCTGCAACAAGAAAAGGGAAAGCATGTGTTTCGCAGCGTTTGGCGCTGCTGCATCTTGGGGTTGTTGGCATGCATCGCTTGTGTTGCCTGTCCATCCCAGATAGCCAGCTTTGTATTCTGCACAGCAGACTATGCCGCTTGCCTTTGAATTGGGCATAGGAAAACTGGGTCGAAAAAACATTTGATTGTCCTCCTGGTTTGACGAAATTGGGGAGGTGTTCGCCCCCCACTCCCCAAATGAAGCAGAGACACCCGGCGAGATTGCCCCCCTTTTCTGGTTGGACAACAAGAAGGAAACCGACCAGTTTGGGGAGTCCCTTCTAATGCTGACCTCAGATTTATCAACTTGGCAGATTAGGGGGCTCCCCATCAAGCAAGGCTTCCCTAAATGGAAATCCCCCAGATCAAAATCCACCAAGCGGTTGTTGATTGACCAACTCGGCTCCCCCCCCCAGCTCCCTCGAACCCACCTCCAGCATTGCCTCTAGCTCCGACTGACGCCGGTTCTGCGCAAAGATGTCCTCCTGACGATGGTTCATCGCGCAAGGCACTCGGCCATTCTAAGGAGACCCTGGATTTTGCACGGAAAACAAAACAACTGGAAGGGCGAGCAAAGAAACAACACAATTTCGCGTTCAATCCGTCTGAAAAGCTGTTTGGTTCGGCAACAAACAACAAGTCTGCCAGTCTATGGGTTGATTCCTTTTGAATTCTGTTCACCCTGATCAATGTTCACCCCTAAAGCCAGGATGTAAATATTTGATCTTATCATCATTTCAGGGAATGGCAAAAATGCAAGATGTGGTGATCAAACGTTGACCCAGTCACCCATCGTTCTTGCAGGAAGCCACCTGTTTCCCGAAGTGCTTAGAAAGGCAGCTTTCTCAATTCAATCGGATCCTTGCGATGGAAAGGATACGGCTGGATATTGTCAACAACAGTTGGTGGACAGAAGGGCCCATGCAAATCATGTCCACCAAAGGGTTCCCAATCAAAACTCATGCCTCCAAACTGGGGGGGGGGGGGGGCGCCATTTAGATGGTGATACAAAATCCAAACAACAATTGCAAAAGAGCAAAGCCCGGACTCGAAAACTCCACAAAATGAGAAACTCGCGGGCTGCTTTTGTTGGCTGTTTCTGCGAACAGTAGACCATTTTGGAGTTTCTGTTTCTGAATGCTGAGGGTGACTCCATGTCATCTGCCGGCTTCCCAGACTAACCTCTTGCATGGCCAGGCTTTTCGGGCCAAAATGAACAAAGCCTTTTGACTCCCTCAGCTTCAGGGAGTTCTTTTCAAAGAAAAACAGCTTGAGCTTCTTCTCCTCCCTCCTCCTTCCCCCCCCCCCACAAAGAAAAATGTGGGTGACCCCTGCAATGGGTCCGAACAAACGGGTTCCTTTCGAATGCTCCACACAGAGTCCCATAACCCCTCCCCGCAGCCCCGGGTTGCGCGTCTCCCGGAATTGGCCGGTCGCTTTCTCCACGTGCTCGTGCAGTTCGTTGCGGTCGCGCAGGGACGTGCCCAGCTCCTGAAGAGAAAAACTCAAGGCGGTAGGGATGCTAGAAATACAATTGCCTTTGTGTGTCCTAGTGTTTGTTCTGAGACCAAAAGGGTCCATTTGCAGAAACTCCCGTTTGGGTAGATTTGGGTAGGAGCTTGCATTGGGGACCCTTTGGTAAATATGAAGGTCGGCGGGAATCTATGTCCAGCAACCATGGTTGAGAGGATTCCCTATTAAGATTCCTAGCCAAATGAATTTGTGTCTAAATTGGATACGGAACCCACAGAATCCTGTTGGTTGTCCTGTAAAATCAAAACAAAAAGGGTCCCCCCCCAAAGAAAGAAAAAACCGCCAAATCGGACGGACTTGATTTTCCAAAACAAAACACCCTTGCGGAACCCCTTTTTTGGAAAATCCATTTTTGCCCCTCCCAAATGAACCATCGACTACCATCAGTTCTAACCGAACCTCGAATGGCAAAACAACGCCAAGGATGGTGCGACGAACACAGCATAAACCTCTGTCACAGTCCGCAGCCAGGCTTTGACGAACTGAACTAGCTCGTTGGCCCACGTCTCGTGCATATGTTGCCCCACGAAAGCTAGCAATGAGGTGCCCGGCATAAACCCAGGTCTAGCATGGGCTTCCTCCCCCTCCCCCACTCTGCAACAAAAAGCAGCTTGGTAGGCGGGTCAAGTTCCCATCAGGGTAGAATAGAATTGTTGTTCAAAATTATGTAAGAAAAAAAAAACTCAACTCTTGCCCCCAACCAAAATTATGGGCCATACTTAGTGAACCTTATGTGTTTTTGTGTGTTTCCCCATTTTGTTTTCCTTTTTGTTTTTTTCTTGTTGATCCAATGAGTCCCTTGCGAAAGGTAAAACTTAACTGTTAGTGGGATGTGTCAGAAAAGAGATCCCACGGAAGGCTGCAAAACGTCCGGCGAGCTTTCCATCGGCTGTCCTCCTGCAGCTGGTGCAGCTGTTGGGCCAAGTCCTTCAACGGCAGTGGCAACTAGGGAACCCCCGTTTTTGGATGGGTTTGTTCGGAGGCACCCAAAAATCCACCTATTTTTGGCAATACCCATCTGCCACTTCCAAAACCTGGGCAAATGGGCGGGTTACGTTGGATCGGCGCGGGCATTAAGGGGCCAAAAACCAGGTATTCAAAAGTGAGCCCACAAGCAACGCACTTTGTGAGCTGTAGAAAAGGGCTGGGGCAAGGGGCCACGCTTTAACCACTGAACAACCAAAGGAACCAGCAACGAACATGTGAATCAACAACTCTATTCCTTGATGTTGCTGGTCTGGGCCAATGACAGGCAACTTTCTCGGGGGGCTTACCTTGTTTACTCGAACCTCATATCGTGTCCTCTCAAATTGCTCGGCCAACCGACCGACTCCAATCGAGCATTCTATGGTCAATGAAGTCAATCACAAGAGAACACCGCGCTCCCAGGACTCCCCTTCAGGGATAGGGTCATGAATAGAAAACCATGCAATTGTTCTCTCCTCAACAACATACTTAATCATCATCGCTCCCCTCCACCAGACGGAAATACGAATCTGAGACGAGCCGCGATGCAAACCCTGGCGGAGAAACCTGACCGAGTCCGACAGCAACTAGCCACCTGCCCGAAGCCACAAAGAGGACCATTTGCTACAAAACACACACTTGCCGACTTCTAGGAGAGCTGTCCCGTTCGTTTTTTGTTGTTTTTTTACAAACTGAAAAGGCACAGGACGGGTCAAACGAAGCTTTTTTGGCCTAGCCTGCCAAAATCTTCTCGGCCCCCCCAGCCATCTCCTCGGAGCTCTGGGAGGTCTTTCGGGACGCCTCCAAAGCGCGGAGCGTCTGGTCCTCGGAGCTGAGTCAAGACCCGGGGTCACCAAAACGGAGTGCCACCAGGTTGTTCAACCCGTTAAAGCGCGACTTCAAGCGGGAAGCCTCGCAGAAACACCGACCCAAAAAAACGGCAGAAGGAAGAAGTGGACGTGGGAAGGGAAAGCGGAGAAACTATGGATCTAGGCAAATTGCTAAAAAATGCCAAACTAGGAATCAGGAACCTCTAGAAAGTGAACTTCATCCCCGAGGTGAGCCAACGATAAACTGTCCAAGCCCATGTCGAGTGAGTTGAGACATCTGTTGATTCAAGTGGGCGTCTTAAGACGCCCCTGGGCTCCGTATAAGAACGTGAATGGCTGCCTGGACGCGTTTAGCGCAGAATGGCCTGCAACAGTGCAACCCCAAGGTGGGGGGGGGGTCTTTTTAGGGGACCCCCCAAGAAGGCGGTGTCACTCTTGGTGTCCCTTTAAAACAAAAAAAAGGGTTCCCTCACCTCTCGCTCACAAATAGCGAGGAAAAGAAGGGATGGGGATGAACAAGTCAAAGGTAGGAATGGAAACAAAGATAGGATGTGTTGATTACCCCGAGAGAAAGTGATGGCATTAGAACCATCTCTCGCCCCAGAACCCATCTCTCTGTCCATTTCTCTCTCCATACCTTCCCCAACCTACAGAATAAACATGCCTTGAATATTAGTTGAAGGGACCAAATCCAGATAGTGACTGGGATTTTGGAGACAGGTAATCCTCCAGGAACATGTCCGCGCCTGCAGAAGCTGCAGCTCCTTCGAATCTCCGGAGCGTTCGCGCCGATGTCGCGTCAACTTCCGCGCCGATGCCTTGTGCCTCTGTCTTTTCTAAGGATTTGGACCCAGAAAATGGCGGGGTGGCCTTTTGGCTTGCCTCTAAAACCACCAAAAAGGGGGTACCAACTCCAAGAGACAGACCCTTTTAAGGTAAATGACGTACATCGGGCGTGCACCTTGAGGAATGCCTATGGCTGAATCTACTTCTTTATCGGCTTTTTGGCTGCAAGAAATCTCCTAGAACCCAAAAAACTGAACAGATCCTTCTGGGGGGCATCTCCTGAAAAAGCAGAGTCCAGGTGAAGTGGCATCTCCTCTTGAGGGCCCCCTGTTCGGCTTCCGTCCTTATTTGCAGGGGAAGTGGAGGAGACCGGAAATCATTCGCCCTGTTGCGAGACCAGTTTTTGGTTCCGTGCAAATTTTCGAGGGGATCAGCCTTTTAGGACCCCGTGTGGCCTGATTGCGGGGTTAACTTTGCTGTGCCCTTGCGGGACCAACTCGGAGTTGTCAATCAGGTAGATTGTGGCTCATTTGGATCACATAGGTTTTATATATATATATAGAGAATTGTATAGAACTGTAGAGCAATTTGGGTAGGCTGACCCCGAAGCCTTCTATGATCGCTCCCTTTCTAACCAAGCAGCCTACCAAATCTACCATTTTCACCCTTTCTCCAGAACCTGAAATCAGCAATGGCGAATCGCTCCCCTGGAGCCGCACGGTTTCGGCAACGAGCTCCTCGACCTTGCTGACAGCCACCGACAGCTGGCGCTTCAGCCTAGCGCCATGGGGAAAGCCAAGCCTTTCCCCAAGACATGGGGGAAGTACCAGGCCAAGCTTCCCACTTTGGGCATGGCCAAAGCTAGGAAGAGGATTCATGATTTCTGAAGGGTCTGGTTGGTGCCGCGGAAAAGCAGAATGACAGAGGTCTAGCAGTTGTTAGTCCCGCCTGAAACCCATTGACTTTTAATTCTACCATAAAGCCCACTTTTGCTTCTACCATGTTGGTTCCACAGTAGGACTCCAAGAGTCTGTGATATCGAGTTTTTTCCCACATCCCCGCTGGTATGATAGTCCACATTCCCGGCACCACTGTTTCAACCCCCCCCCCCCCCCCGGAAATCTGCGACCCCAGGCGAGGGACGGCGTCGTCAGCCCGTTTGGCCAAATGATGTCGTGCTTAAAATTGGGCTCAGGGAAGTGGGCGACCAACCCCAGAGAAAAATAATACCTGGGGATGTGGGGGGTTGTGGGGTATCATTGAACCAAGTTCCACCATGATCAAAGGGCAACTCCCATCCACCCAAACAGCACCCGTGGCGCTTTTGCTGGGGCCCCCACTCGGCGTGGTCCGCCATCTTCGCTTCCCTTTCCTCGTAAACCCAGGGGCGTGTCTGGTGACAGGTGGCTTCGAGATTACAAGGAGAACAAACACTAGTCACTAGCAGTGTCACATGGGTTATGGTCAAAACGCCACTGTCAGTGGAATGTTTATATTGCTTGGCTAAAACCCACTATTGGGGAGGTTGGTAACCATCCCTGCAAGGCGAGAAAACGCGTGCTGTTTGCAACGGGGGCAGGCAAGGCTCACCTATGGCTGAGCCTCACACAAAAATTGAAATCCTTGATCGCATTGCAACTTTCCTTCCGGTACCCCGTACGGTGTCTTCTGGATGGTACCCTGTCCAGCTTGGTTTTAGGGACAGCCAAAAGGAAGACCACAATTTCTGGTGTCCCTATTGCAACACATACCCACACGTTGCTGCCGTAGTTTTGGCCTCACGTCAACTCTAGATGTCTCTGCCCAGCCTGTGTTTGATCCCATTTGTGGTCTGCGCAAACGGGATTCTGCAAATGTTACAACTCCAAAACCCGAAATGAGAATTAGACCCCCACGCGGTTTTGAATTTCAATGTCGGCCAAAAGGTCCCTGAGTAACCAAATGGAAGTTTCTGAAAATGGGTTTCGGACCCCTTTGGTTGGTCTTACGAATAACAAAAAGAAACCCAAAGGCCATTTTAGGGCTCCCTATTTGTAGAAACCCCCATGTTTTGATGTTCCTTTTGGGTTCCTCTCAAAGTCAAAGGAGGGGTTCCCCCACCAAAACAATCCAGCCACCCAAGCCACGAGCTATTCGCTCCCTGCGCCTCGTTGGCCCTGCGCTGCATCTCCAGCTGTTCCTTCAACTCCGCCTCCACCCGCTCTGTGACCTTCCGACACTCCTGCCGGATGTGATGGTTCCTCCCCCCATTGCTTGCTTCAGCGTGCCTCCACAAAAGCTGAGCAAAGAGTCGCAAACCCCCCCCCACCCCACCAAAAAAACAAACGAAACCCACACCCCCTTGGTTTCCTTGGTTCCTTTTGTTCTGTTTAATATATGTTGGTGTCCCTTTAGTTTCCGGCCATCGCCGCATGTGAGCTTTCCGCCAAAATTACCAAGTTTGCAGGGTAACTGCCACAAAATGTTGCAGGACTGTGTAGCTATTATTGTCTCATGTGAGGTTTGCTCAAAACATCATAGTCTGGATGGACATGGGAAGTTTAGGGTCCCCCGAGAGAGAGTGAATCATTGGGCTGTGGCCTGCATCAAGCTGTAGCGATAGCAAACAGCACGGGTTTGTCTCAAAGTCGCAGGGTGGGGGTCCTGTCGATTTCTGTGGCATCGAACAGGGCACCAGCAAAGACACACCCATACTTGGTGCATCAAAATGATCCTTAACATGGCGGTAAGATGGAGGGGAGGATGGATGGCTGGCTAGCTGGCTGGCTAGATGGATGAAAAGATGTATAGGCATTTCACAAGTATGTCATTGCGACTGCATCTGTGTCATACATTTGTCATTTGTAGATAAGCAAGTGCGCATGTCATTCTAGATGCGCATATGCACCTGAGCGTATGTATGCATGTGTAACTGTACGCGATATGTGTTTGTCACGCGCACATGCACACGTTGTATTTTCTGTCAATGTACACGCAGCTGCGCTTGTACCTGTACATGTGTACATAGGCGAGTGCGAGTGCCGTTGCGCACGCATGCACGTGCGCTTGGTGTCGTTGTGTGTGTGTGGATGTGTCTATGGGTGTGTCTATGGGTGTGTCTATGGGTGTGTCTATGGGTGTGTCTATGGGTGTGTCTATGGGTGTGTCTATGAGTGCGCATTTGTGCTTGTGTGTCCTTCTGTGTTTGGTTTGTTTGTTTGTTTGCTTGCTTGCTTGCTTGCTTGCTTGCTTGCTTGTTTGCTTGCTTGTTTGTTTGTTTGCTTGTTTGCTTGTTTGCTTGTTTGCTTGTTTGCGTGTTTGCTTGTTTGCTTGTTTGTTTGTTTGTTTGTTTGTTTGTTTGTTTGATTGTTTTGTGTGTTTGTGTGTTTGTTTGATTGATTGTTTGTTTGTTTGTTTGTTTGTTTGTTTGTTTGTTTGTTTTGGTGTGGTTTGGTTTGGTTTGGTTTGGTTTTGTGTTGTTGTTGTTGTTTTTTTGATTTGTTCTGTTTTGTTCTGTTTTGTTTTGGTTGGTTGGTTGGTTGGTTGGTTGCTTGGTTTGTTTGTTTGTTTGTTCGTTTGTTTGTTTGTTCGGTTGTTTGGCTGTGCGGTTGTTTGGTTGCTTTGTTGTATGGTTGTATGGTTGTTTGGTTGTTGTGTATTTGTTGGTTTTTTCGTTTGTTTGTTTGTTTGGTTGATTGCTTTGTTGATTAGTTGTTCGGGTCCCACAAAATGCTTAAAACGCGCCAAACCCGGCAACATCACCAAATACAGCACCAATAGTCAGTGGACGTTGGTTCAGAATACGACCCAGAGCTTCGCTCCGGGAACTCTTGATCCAGCTTCCGCCCGGCCGAAGCCCCCGTCCTGCTGCATGGTCCGCATCTGCTCACGAAGCGCCTAAGCGAGGCTTAGTCATGCAATCAAACAGTTTCTACATCCCACATCCCAAGCTTCAAACTCGCAAAGCCAAGAACGCCAAGATCGTGGGCCCTGCCAGCCTCAAGCGCCTGTAGCAATCGAACTTTCCGTGAACGTGAATCACAACACGGCAACACGCGATCGACTCGCCGCGAAAAAACAAAGTATGCTCAGATCCATGCCTCGTTCCTCTCGGAAAGCGAGCGGATTTCCTGCGTGGAGTGTGGGGTCTTTTTGTTTCCAGGGTACTTTGGTTGAGGTGGTTAGGGGAACCCAAGAAATACCCGCCTTGTTGTCGGTTCCTTATTTTAACACACGCCAATTTGTCAGCCTGAGCAGACCGAACACTGGTTGACTCCATTTGCGGCAAGTGGCCGAAGCTCAAACTCCGATATGAGGTGGCTGGTTGGGTAAGAAAAGCCGACAGGACCAGCGCTTGACAACATGCTTGACAAGGGAACATGCGGGACGCAAAGGCTGAGCGCACAGTCCATAGCCTTTTCCTCATCATATCTCGTCAAAGATGTGTCTTGGGCTGGGACAAACTAGACACCTCCTGTTCACAAAACCGTTTAGGGGCGCTTTCTGTCGATTCTACCTTTTCCTCCCCCTCTTGGTCCTGTTGTACTCTTGATTCGCCGCATCCAATGCAGCTTTTTTCAATTTGCAGGAAACTTGGCCCAACACCAGGGTACACCACGAACAGGATTCAGACTATGTTACATCTCTTAACCTTAAAATATAGCTCCCCAGCTGTGACGGGTTGGTTCGGCCGGCCCTTTCTTTTGATCTGTTCTGCAGCCCCACTCGTCCTCCCGCAGCTCGTCCTGTGAGGTCACCTGATTCCTCGGAACAGGATCCATTGGGCCAAACGGACGCGACACCCTGGTTGAAAGGGGCAATGACGAAAAGCAAAAAGGCCAAAAGCCACAAAGGTAAGCCAAGTCTGGTAAAGATCTGCAGATTACACATGTTAAGGGCATAAGGAACCAGAAACTGCAATGGCGAAAGGAACCTTATGGATTGCAATCCTCCTCAGAAGTGTGGCAAAAAGGATTCCTCTCTAAATGGAGGATCAGCCAAAGTCTTGTTGTTGTTTTTTCCTTTGTCCTTGAAGATCAATGAGTGGCAACGGCGTGACGTATCAATTAAATAGATAAATATAAACAAATAAATAAATAAATAAATGAATAAATAAATAAATAAATAAAGCTACTCGCTTCATAACCCCTTGCAGAACCATGGGCAAAGTTTGGCTCAGTCGCTCAGCAAGGTTCGATTGCATTTGACAAGGCCAAAGAAAAACGGCCAGTCTTGGAACGCCGATTCTGGCTTTCGCCAAAGGCGTTTTGACGCACGCGAGCGGCAGTTTGGCTCAAAGCAATCGCGACGTTGGTGGCTGAGCCCGAGTGGAGATGGAAGGCCCGAAAACTCCCAACAGCACAGGTGAAGCGGAGCCTGCAGCCGGATTGGGTGGTATGGGTATGTGTCACATAGGGGGAGCACCAAAAAATGCGGTTGTCCCTTTGATTTGTCTTGAGTCCAACCTTACCGAGCCTCAACACAAACATATGCTCAAATCGAGATTCCCCACCTCCCATTTTGGAGATCTGCACTCCATGGCACATGAACTCAGTGCAGAAGGCTTTTCATGGCAGCGCGCAACGGCCGTAGATAGGTACATAGATGGGTCCGATCGACATATCTTGGATAGGTGGTAGATGGATAAGTAGGTAGATGGACAGAAACAGGTAGACGAAACTGAAGAAGAGAAAGATAGACAGAAAGAAAGATCGGTAGGTAGATGGACAGATAGATGGACAGTTAGATAGGTAGACCGATGCATACATAGACAGATACGCAGATAAACCGGTAGGAGAGATATGTAGATAGAAGGATAGCAAGATAAAAACAAAGGGAATCGAGAGATAGATCGATTAGATTGCATTAGAACAGGAAACGAGATAGGCAGATAGGCAAATGGATTAGATTGGGTTGGATTAGGTCAGAGCAGGTTGGATCAAACAAATAGGTCATTACGCCATGAGGCGCGTGGTGATTTTCAAGGTTCACGCTTCTTGTTTTCAATGCACCTGCCAATGATTTCAGCTTTTCTCAGTGAACAACTGTGGTTTTAGAATTCCTCCAAACTAATGTTTTTCAGAGAAAACACCCTTCATCTGACATCATCTCCATTTGGGCTCAATTTAGGTTGTGCTTCCAAACATTGAGCAAATCAGATCACACCACCAAATTTCTTTGCAGCTGCACATCTTCGCAAGCTGGTTGGCGGGCATCTACTTGATGCTCTCAGCCTCACCTCAAAAATCGTGATATGATAAAGTTGGCGGGCATCTACTTGACGGTACACGTGGAGACAATACATACGCAGCAGCCGCCAAAAGCAAAGGCAGCGCCTGGCGAGAACGCGAGACATAAGAGACCCACGAAGACCACAGAACGTTCTGATCATCACACAGTGCACGAAAGTCAATTGGAGATACGGTCAGGCATCGCAGAAGCAGCAATCGCAAAATCCAAAACTGGACCTGACACCGAAACAGCAGCAAAGACATCAACCCCCCTCCCCCCCCGACACCTCGCCAGAAAAACAGCTGACACGCCGCGAAAAGACCAGAGGCCCTGTGGAACTAGCAACAAATACGTTGGGAAATGCGCAGATGCGTTGATGGACAAGCGGATGGACAAACAAAAGAATGGACAGGTAGATGGATAGATGCACAAAGACCTCGGCGGATGAATAGGCAGGCAGATGGCTAGATAGAAAGCTGAGTAGGCCAACAGGGCATGTAAGTGGAGCAGACACACACGCGCGCAACAGTATTGGCTTCTATCAAGTTCGAACCATGTGCCTAGCATAACCAGAGCTCCCGGCACCTGTTTTCCCAAAAGCATCTCTGGTGCGATGGGCGCGGGGAGCTTTCAACGGTGCTGGTGGGATGTGGCTCCGAGCGGCCGTGCTGGTGGGATTTGGAGGGCATTGGCTTCTGGGATGAGAGCGTTTGTGGGCGTGAGCTCGAGGAAAAAATAGTAGGCTAGTTGGACAGATCTTGCTCCGTGCCTGGCGTGGGTTGTTAGACAACGGCAGCCTCGTGTCAATGACTGCGTCAAGTTAATAGCCTCCTCTTTCGTCGGCCTTGACGGTCCCGACAAACTTCCCGGGCCCGACGGGCTCGACGGGCCCGAAGGGCCCAACGGGCCTGGCCCGACGGGCCCGAACAGTGAGAGGACATTGGCCAAAAAATCAGAGATCTCCAATGTTTGGACTCATGTCTTTAGGCACGGTCAACCGCCTACAACCTCAAGTCACCCCTGTTGCCACAAACTGTTTGCATGCGCTACAACACCCCCACTGACTTTTGGTTCATGGTTGGAAAGATATTTGATTTTCGGCTTTATCCCAGTGGGCGGCCATGTGTGAATATGGATTTGGGCACCAAAACATGTGTGGTTTCCACTTGGTTTCCCTGTGGTTTCTGTTTTCTCGCCGATCCCAAAAAGGATCCCGAGCGAACCCGACATGGCCCGGGTCGGCTTTGGTTGAGTTTGGGCCGCTGGCCGGATCTCCTCCAACTGCCGCTGGCCCCGCACCAGGTCCTGACATGGCTGCCTCCCTTTCGGAATATGGCCATGGTTCAAAACCAATGATACCATTTGGGGATAGGTGCACCACCCATTTTAGTCTACTTTAGTGGGGATTGTGATGTTCACTGGGGGTACGGGGTTTTGACCCATGGCCATATTGGAAACGAGCCACACCTGCCATTGGTCCATGGCAGGGTACCCTGCTTGAGGTTCAAAGGGAAAGCCCGTTGGCATGGCGGCTCAGAAATCGGGTACCTGCGAACTTCTGCGATGTGAATCCTTCACTTTTGTGAGTGACACCTTGCTTTGAGTAGGATGTGTTTATTGATCATAGCTTGGCGCATGGAGTGAATCCGAACCCACGCGCTTTCGGATTTTGGGACCGGCACGCTTTGCTGATCGCCGGAAACTCGGTGCTTGGATTCTTGCGACTGAAACCTGCGGCTTCACGAGGGGTCGCAATTGCTGGAGAGTGCAGGGCTGGCAAAAGCCAAAAGCAAGGCAGAAACCGGCCATTCTCATATTTGGTGGCTAGCCTTCTTGCAAGAGGCCCCAGAACAAATTTTCACGGTTGGTGTTGCGAACAATGACTCAATAGCCCAGATGGTGAGAAAGAACTCGGCCAGTGGGTCATGGGGAGCCTTGCAAACAAAGGACTTAAAAGTTGTTTGTCTGGTTGTGGGAGAAGAAAAAATGCACTTTTCTGCGACACCGAGGTGAGCCATCCGGGCCATATGATAATGTGTAGTCACTTCAAAGATGGTTGTCATCACGAAAAGCGGGCCTAATAGCCTAATACCCGATATTTTCCACAACCATGGTTGTCTGGAAGTCCTCCCGTCGATCTCGCACGACTTGGGCCGCAGGGAATCCAACACCCGGCCCATTGGCTTGTTCCCGGTAGATTTCCTCCACGGACCATCCTGAAAAGCGCCTCCTTCAAATATCACCCAAAGGAAACTCCTCAACTTTCTAGGAGATTCTAAGCCGTGACCCCTAAACTGTCGCACTTTCCAACGAAACGTTTCGGGCCGAAGCTTCGGCGCGCAGTGACAGGGAGGTCTTGCAAGATGTATCTTGAGTTGGGCTGCAAACCTCCTTCCTTGCGCCACACTTTGGCCGAGAGACTTCTCAAAAAAAGTGAGAGACTCACTAGCCACCTACATGCTACAAGATGCGCAAAACTCAACTCGTTTCACTCTACTCTGGGGACAACCGTCCAGGTTGGGCATTGGTTCCGAACACAGGGTTGCTTGCATGGAATCGTGCTTTCCCTTTGAAGGCAAACGTTGGCATCCTTTTTTCTCACCGATTTTGCCCAACCAAAACCTGCGCGCGAAAAGCGCAGGCGAATCTGATGCCCGTCCAACCTCCACACGCGTTGGCCGTCGGGGCTTGCCGAATTCAGCCCGCTTCCCACAGAAATTCGCATCGACAGCTTTTGGCATTGCCAGCGGCTCGACAGAATTTGACTGAGGTCGCAAGGCTGGAACGACGATGTATTTGGGTGTGTCCTTTCAGATTCATTGCAGGCAGGGTGTGGTAAAAAGAAATACACTGGATTTGACATCCAAGCAACAGACCACGAGCCTCACTGCCGCGGGTGTTCCCTTTGGCAAATCAACAAGCCCTGGACACCCTGAGAGTCCTTCCATCACAGACCAGCTTCATTTATCAGACCGAATGAGGGCATACTGTGACCTTTGTTTCCTGGCTCGTAGTCAATTGACCTATGCAGGAAGTATATGACTCCAATGAACTGGACATTGCCTGCAACAAGCTAAGATGCCTGCATGTTGCTAATACTGTATCAACATACGCTCGAAGTTGTCAAAGGCTTGTGTTCAATCAACGCCATTTCAAAGCCAATCCCGCGAAAGGGACGCGGCTTGCTCAGGGTCCCTGACAAGATAGATGGTCTATGTATAAAATAACCTTTCCCAGCTGATGTCGAGAGTCTTTGTAGTCAAGGAGCTGGCTTTTAGACGTATCATTGAAAGAATCCGTCTTTTTTTGCGGTCCAACCGGATCACCGTTTCCACGGCCCCTGCCTGTCCCAGGACTTTTCAAGGGCTTTGAATTGCGAGGCGGGAAACATGAAATGCGCACGAGCTCGAGCGGTGTCCAAATAGGAATTCGGCCCCCAAAACTTGTATCTTCCTTTTGGTGTTCCTTGAAAACAACCCAACAAATAATTACATGAAAAAACCAAGAGACCATTTGCAAGGAAAAGCAGAGCTCGGCAAAGTCACCTACGCAACGGAAAACGGCAAAATCTACAGGCAAGCTCTTCGACAACAGCTTACCCACTCCTTTGATGCGGTATGCACCGGGGCATGCGGTCTGGGAGAAAAGACGCCACGGAGCTGCCGGAAAAGCTCGAACCTGCTTAGGGCTCCAAAGGCTTCTAAAAACCTTTCTGCTCTTAGCATTAGGAGGCTGGAAAAAACACACTCAGCCAACCCCGTGGATTTTTTGGAGCCATGGTTTGAGCAATTGCTTCTCAGCGACGAGCAAGAGTGTTCAACAGGAACCCTTCAATCACAACCCCTTCTAAGAAGGTTCTTGCAACCTTTCCTGGGTTGTGAGGGGGTGTGCGTGTGCTGAGGCTTCCCCCATTGGATGGATGGTGACCGTGCCTGGCAAGCAAAAAATTGGCAGCCACAATTTGTTGGCCCGGCAAATGAATACTGAAAGGCCCTTGAAAACGGGGTTCGGGGTGCTATGGGTGCTTCAAATCAAGTCATGATCAGGGGAGCAACAAAAACAAAAAAAGGTCTGTCAGTGTGTGTGTGTGTGTGTGCGCGTGTGTGTTGTATGCGCTAGGCCCTTGTATAGTTGAGCTTCTTAGGCTGCAGCAGCTCGATGGGAAAGCTCCGCACAAAGCAAAGCTGCGCTGAAAGGGGTGCCATCTTGGCCGCAAGTAGCAAAACATGCGAGCTGCCGGCCCTCTGTCATGCGACAATTATCGCAACCTGTTGGTCCTATAGGAAGTATAGAAGGCTCCCATGACAACTAGTGACTAATATCAGACAGACTGGCAGAAGCTCTGTCCGCCTGCAAAGCTGAAAGCTACATCCAGGTGTGAAGCCGAATCAGAGTCGTTGCGAAACAACGTTGAACAGATTCCCCTCCCAAAAACGAGCGTAGAACTTGCACAGCGGTTGTCCTTTTCAGGGGACCCCAGCGCAGGTTCCATGTTTGGCCTTCCCACGGGGTGCGTCTTTTTCGAGGGTGCCCTTTTTGGGGGTTCAAAGGGAAACATGAGAAAAACCATGTTCGAGGTTCTATTTTCGAGACCAAATGAACCTGGAAGCCAACGGCGCGAAAGGGAGGGCCGGTAAATTTAGCAGTGCGGCAGATGCAGACCGCGGGCAAAGTCCCAGGAAAACAAAGTGCGTGGTGCTGTTGGAAGACCAGTGCAAATGTCATGCCCTAGCTCATGTACTCTACAGATTGACAATGAACCCAATAATCATCTTTGTTGGAGGAATCTCCTTCTGCGCAGCTTGTTGGGTTCCATTTACAGACTTTGGTCTGAGTGACAAGTCCCCGGTCCTTGACAGCTTAAGTGCCGCGTTTCTGGGCCAGGGACCTGAAAAGTCCAAAAGCTGTGGGGACAGCTTGAGACGCCTTTGACCGCGTCCTAAACAAAAGCCGCTGTGGAACTTGGACAGTTTCGGAGGCCGAGACTTTGGGATCAAGTGCCAGCAAGGTCAGTGCCTGACACCCAGGAGTGGACAGCTTCACGGGGTCACAGAACTCTCAGGTGCGTCCAGCATTCAAATGCCATTTGTTCCACGACCTCCATCAATGTGTCCGTCGTGACAACTACGAAAAGCCATGGTGTTTTTTCATGCGAAACCACCAAATGTTCGCATTCGCGAACTCAAAATGCCAATGCAACTGGGGACCCCTCACAGATTCTGCCCGTCACGCCATTCCGCCGCAAGCCACAAGCTCAGGCCACTCTGGGTGCATGGCAACAGTCTGGGACCTCGCCCGAACGGCAAACAACGGCACGGGTGTTCAACCATTCGGTTTCCAGGGGCCGAATCCCGTGGCAAAGAGATACGACTTTCTCTTCTCTACCTTTTGGCTTCCCAGACTGCTCAGGGTTCTTGATATGACATCAGAAAGGCCCCAAACAGGAGATCTTTAGAACCGGAAAAGTCGAAGCGCAAACGGAAACGGGGAACCTCAAAAACTCCAAATGCGTTTTGTGGTTTCCCTTTGCGACCCAAGGGTAGGTTCCTTGATCCCTTAAAGAAAAACTGTTCGTGGGATATGTCGTCTGCTCTGTGGCTGGGAGCCCCCAAGTTTTAGGTTGAACCCAAGGTTCTGTGTGTCTGTGTTTCCAAAATTAGGGGGTCGCACACATTCGTCGGCTTTCCTTTTGGCTTCCCTTGAAACCAACTCAAAAGCTAGCCGCAAGACATAAACCCGGTTTCTTGCCGACCCTTGCCTCCGCATCAGCGCCAGACCCGAGCCACACGTCTCTCCGCGCTCGCTGTTTGTTCGGGGGGCCTCACAGGGCCCAGTGGAATCCCCCCCAGAACGGCGCACAAAGTGGACCCCAATCGACCTCATTGTGCTTGTGCGCCGTTGTGTGGAATCCCCCTCATTGGCAGTGCGTTGTTGTGTTGGTTTTCGCCCCTGCTTGACAACCAAAGAGAGGGATTGTTCTGGCGCAAGGAAAAATGGGACACCACCCCAAAGAGGGCTTGCCCATGTTGAGAACATGGCACCTGTGGAAGGGTAACTCCCTGTCAGGTGCCATGGCAACGTGGCAATCAGGCGGACTTTCTACTGCCTTTTGGCTTCGGAGCCCTGGGTGTTAAACCACTTCAGCAATCTCTCACGTGACAAAGTCGCCAGGGGACATGGGGAGTGGATTCGAACCAAACTGCCTTGCCAGAATCCCTAACTGACAATGGGGATGGATTCCAATCCCATTCTAAAGGTTGATAACCCTATTCTTCTCAGAGTCACAGACGTCGAATCAACCACAG